CAACACCACCATCAGCCAGGGAAATCAGATACCATAATATGCCCTATAAGTCTTCAGGATACCCCAGCGCTCTGACTTTGAATCTGTCATTTAGGGCCTGCTGAAGCTTCCCTTCTTGAGCTGGGGTTCACCTAAATCGTCACAAAATTCCTCCAGACATTCTGGCAGCAGTAGTATTTTTTTCTTCTGTTTGTTGATTAGACACTTGTGGTGTATAAATAAACAGCTACAGTTTAGGTTACTTAAAGGATACAGAGAACTGGCACCTCGATGTAGTGTCTAAGGAGTCTGTTTGTTATAGATGGGGCAGCACTGGAGGGCTCCGAGTGGGGGTATATTTTAGACAGGAAGGCCATCCTTCTGCATGGAGTGTAGAATGCAGGGAGCCAGACCAGGAGAAGGAAAACCCACTAGGAGACGCTGAAGAGTACAGACGGGACGTGTGGATAAACAAAGGCAAAGGGACTGAAGGTGGAAAGAAGGCGGATTTGAGAACAAAGATTTGAAGGGATAGAATGAAATGTGTTGATCCCAAGGGGTTCACTGGGGCTTCAGATGCTCTGGGTCTGACCCTGTGACTGATGCATCACACGAACTTGGCTTTTAGGCTAGGTAATTTCAAGCTTCTGGTAAATTCAAGTCAGACCAGAAGACCAGAGTTTAAATCAGGCCTGTCTGCTCTCGAGCAAGTCATCTGTTTTTGCTGGAATTGGTCTCATCTTTTGTCAACTGAGAATCATGATACCTGCACCTCTGCTGCTTATTATCACATCAGCCAGCTCAGATGCCAAAATTGTCTCATCTCTTACTTACTTTCCTGATAATAAAAAGAATACTGTAAGCCTGTAACATTTACTGAGGACTTATTATGTACCAGGCACAATTATAATGTGCATTAATTCATTTACTCCTCACAAGAGCCTTAGGAGATAGGTACTGTTATGGTTACCATTCTGCAGATTAAGAAACTGGAGCAGAAAGAGATTCCAGCTTCCCACAGCTTGTGACAGAGTAAGGATGCAAACACAGCAGAGCTACCTCTCAAAACTGGATAAACCTCCTATGTATATGTTCAGGAAGCCCTGGGTCTTCTTCCTGAGTCCTCCCTCCTCTGTTTTATCCAAGAATCTTGCTTGTTGAGTCCCACACCCAGACACCCAACAAAGAGCAAGCTCAGACTTATGCTGCCATTACCAGATGCTGCCACAAGGTGCCGCTATTGAACCCCCAAACCTCGGGTTTGATCCAGGGATGTTCTTGTTGACTCAGGATCCTGTTCAAATTGCAGTAAGGTCCCACAAGGGGGCTCCTAGTCTTTGCCTCTGAGGTTGTCACCTTAGGTATTTTTCTCTCAAAATCTCACTATGGTGGGGGGACTCCAAGTCCAAAGGGGCTTCTAACTCTTTCTTGATTCTGAACCAGCAGCTGACGTTCCCCCTTGCTTTCTGGTGAGTCCCTTTTTAATCCTTTGGGGTTATTTTCTATCAGATTGACATGGGTAGCGCCCTGACTGTTGACCACCCAAGTCCTCCTGACTTCAAGCCTCTGGGAAGGACTGAACTGTGGTCTAAGTGCCTTTACATACAGGAGAGTCCCTGAAAAACTACAAATTGTTTTACCCCCTCAGACTGACAACTAAAAGGAGAAGCGTTTTCTAAACACACAACACACACACACACACACATACACACACACATCACAAATACACACAGCAAACCAGAAAATAAGATGTCCTATTGTACCTTTTCCAGGTAGGAGGTGTTCACACCCCTTCCAATGCCAAGCTACAGGGACCAAGGTGCCTCTTGCTTGAACACAAATCTACTCCAGGGAATATGGTTCTGCTTGTTGACATGTGCAAGTTCTAGAAACTTCTTTCTCTGTTTAAGGAGACTTTTACATCCTTTATAACCATAAAGAACCCTCTTCAATATCAAGTAAAAGCTTCCTAAACATACTCTAGGATAGGCCAGGGGGCTCAGAAGACCTTAGCAAGTGGAAAGGTGTCTTGGTGGACTTATTTCAGGTTGATTAGTACAATTTTTGGTACCTGGAAGAAAGAACCTGACATGTATAACAAATTAGAATAAATAAATAATTTAATTTAAAAAAAAGAGAGAGAGAGAAAGAACCTGAGAACCGAGAGCTACTATAAAGAGAAAGCCCTTCATAGCATGGAGAATCCCAAAGCCAATCTGTGGCAAGGGCAGAGGAGTGCCATAGAGAATCAGAGCCATCCTGGAGTATAACCATCATTGAGATGGCCAGATTTTACAAATGAAAATACAGGACACCCAGTTCAATTTGAATTTCAGATGAATATCAATAATTCTTAGTATATAATTATGTGATAGCTGGGATTTATTTTCTCTAAGAATTATTTATTGTTTATTTACTTATCTGAAATTTAACTATGAATTATATTTTTTTCTATCAATAAAAAAATCCTTAACCAAATAGAGCAAAAGGAATTCAATAATATATAAAAAAAAATCATGCTATTATTAAGTGGGGTTTATTCCAGAGATTCAATGCTGGATCAATATTTGAAAATCAATCAGTTTATCTACTATATTGACATGCTATGGAAGAAAAATCACATTTCCATATCAAACGAAGCAGAAAAACACTTTTATAAACTTCAACATTCACTCAAAATAAATATTCTCAGGCTGCTTTGAGGGAAACTTCCTCAACTTAATAAAGAATGTCTACAAAAAACAAAAGATAGAATATTTTATGAACATTTAACTCAAAATGTATCATGAATTTAAACGTAAAGCTATAAAACTTCTAAAAGAAAATACTGGAGGAGGTCTTTAGGACCTATGGCTTAGTGAAGAATTCTTAGCCATGACGACAAAAGCAAAACTCATAAGAGGAAAAAGAATTTGTGAAGCTTCATCAAAATTTAAAACTTTCGCTATGTAAAAGCAAAATCTTCACTTGTTAGGAAGATGGGAAGGGAAACTACAGACTGGAGGAAAAGAATTACAAAATGCGCATATCCAACAAAAGACTTATACAGGAAGTGCTCTGAAACTTCGCCACCAGCCATCAGATAAATACAGATTGAAACCCTGATAAGCTTTGACTACACAGGAAGGCAGACCCAGAATTTGCAAGGCAGAGGGCTGGAGAGGAGGGAGCTATATAAAGAGCTCTAGAAATGTGCATAGGAGTCCACTTGAATCTTTGGGCCAATATGAATCTCCACACACCTGGGGTCAAACTCAATGAGGATGGACAAGCACTATCAGGAAAGAAAAACTTCCAGGGACCTCGAAGCCAAATGATTCTCAGAACTAACAGAGCTGGAAATTATTTTAATTTCTACAAGCCTGAGTGGAGAGACTGTTGAATACATGGCCCAGCATGGGGTGTAGTGGAAATCCTAGAAGGAGTGTGTCTTCATAGTATGCCTACAGTAACCCTAGAGCACAGGACAACCTAGACCTACCTTAAGTAATCTTAAAAGACAAGCTTTAAAAGGATTGAGATGAACCCTGAGGCTCTAACCTGCCTTCCAGAACAAAGCAAACGTCTTCAAAGCCATGCAACAAAACACAGCGCTGCTAAGCCTAAGATAAAAAGGCCACACATCTGAAAATAAATAAAACTCTAGGCATATAAAGAAATGAGAAAGTATGACTCATGCCATGAGGAAAATCAGTTAATAGGAAAAAAAATTACGTAGATGATAGGAGCCAACTTGAAGGAGCACTCAGTAGTCAAGTCTGAGACAATTCAAACAAGAAAATAGAAGGGACTAAAGCCCAGAGAAGAAAGCAAATAAGTCCACTATGATGAGCATCAATGAGGGAATAGATGAGAAAAGAGAGCGCTTCCTCTCATCAGGACATCAATTAATAATGAAAGACCCCCGTCCAATGAAAGACCCCCGTATCCCTGTCCAAGGAGAATCACACAAAACACTGGCTGCAAAAGCAAGAGGTTGGTTTATTGGGACACAGGCGCCTGCGGGTGCCCAGCAGAACCTCAGCCGGAGCTTTGGTGAACTGGCACACCGGACTTGGGGATACAGAGATTTTTATAGGGTTTTGGACAGGTTTCGCGCGCGGAAGCAACAGGTTTCTTATTGGTTTGTTTAAATCTAGCATATAGGCCACCTAGGGGGTACAGGTCTGCATTCCAAAAACCACAGGTCTGCATTCTATTCTTTCTGTTCCTGCTTATCTGTTCCGGTTTATTCATTTATGCCTCAGGATGCAGGTGCTCTGTTCTTCAACCGGTTGTCCGGAGAGCATGCCTGGTGCCTGAACCTGTTTATGGCCTGCCTGGTATCTTGGTTTCATATCTTGGCCTTAGGTAACTGGGCTGACTGGGCTAGGGTCTTTCAATAAAGGCAGAAGAAATTATGAAACTGGAAAATTACCACGCGGGAAACACCATCAGAATGATTATTTCTAGCAAGAACCTTCAGTAGATGCTAAAACTAATGAGCAAAAATATGATGTAGACAAAAATATTCTATTGGTTTCCAAATATGTCCTCAGAAGATTGATACTAATTTTAAGAGGGAAATATGTGGTTGACAGGCGCCTCTTCAACCAAATGCTAAAAGTTAACTTTTTGAACAATAGGTCTAATTGACATCTTGTGACTCTTGGTAAGGTACCCTGAGAGGGCACAACATTCCTCCTGTGACATTCTTGGGAGAATTGCACGACCTCAGTCTAATCGCGAGTAAGTATGGAACCCAAGTTGCGCAAACCCTGTACAAAGTAACCCATTACAAAGTGTTAAAGGCATGAGCTATGTCAAATCAGGAGAGAAAAAGGAAACGAGACAACTAATGCAATGGGAGGTCGTGGATTGGATTCTGGAGGGGCAATTGGTGAAATTTGAATAAGGCCTTAAATTCATCGAGAGTATTGAGTCTATGCGAATTGCTGGGTTGGACCGCTGTACTGTGGCTGTGTGAGATGTTAGGGAAATCCTACCGCTGAGAGCTTTCAAAGCGGAGAGCAGGCTGCTCTTCACCCTCCGCCAATAACCCCTGCTGGCTGGAGCCACTCCCCACTGAGCCCTCCGCAGGGAGGGAGGTGCGAACATCTGGATGACCCGTGGCTGGGGTAGGAAGAGGGACACTTGTACGCACGTGGGGCCGAGAGGAAGGCGAACTTCAGGGCGCCTGGGCTCCTCCGCTCGCCCTCCCCGCAGCCTTCCCCTACTCCTGGCAAGGCAAGCCTTCTCCGCTGGTGGCCAGGCCTCGCCAGAGGGCACCCTCGGTCTTCCCCAGACGCCACCACTTTCTCAAGCTCCAGAGCGTCTCCAAGTTGCAGCCAGCCATGACTCCGGGCTCCTCCGTGAGGAATCACCGCCAAGATGTCAGGATCCCTGAGAGCCCAGGCCCCTGCGTCCCCTGCTGGGGTCTGCCGGCCGGGGGAGGCCGGGGACCCGGGACCAGGAGCGAGCGGGATGCGCGAGGGGCAGGGTGAGAAGGACCGGGGCTCGGCTGAGTAACTCCAGAAAAGCGCCCCACGAGTAGCAGAAGTGACTCCAGGAGGTGAAGGTTCAGCTACCAGGACCACGAGAGCGCCCCGAAGGCGCTCCCGAAGCGACTGGCCGTTCCTGGGCCTGATGAAGACACAGAAATCGTGCAGGGAACAGGCTCCGCCCGCGGGTCCCTCCCTCCGCGTCCTTGGCACCAGGCGTTGGGGAGGGAGAGATAACAGAAAGAAATCGAGAAGGCAGTTGGTGTGCACGCGTGTGTGAGAGAGGAGAGAGAGGGAGGTCCATCCCAAGGTCCATCCTAGGTCCATCTAGCTTCTCTCCAATGAGGAGAGAGGCCATGTGAGCCAGTCCTTTAGACCCCCTACACACACACACACACACACACACTCACACACACACACACACACCAAGAAATGTAAACAAAAGGGAAACTTGAATGGAGCCCTAGTAGACACGCATGTCCTTGCTATCCTGCCTCCCCCACTCCTGTCAGGCCAGCAGCCAGCCCTCTGCACACCTCTCCGTCTATTCCCTGAGGATCTGACTTTCTGTTTACTTGGTTTTAAAAGCATTTTTGTTTCTTTTGCATTCTCTTCTTATTCTCCTTCAGGGCAGGCCAAGGATTTTGATTTGGGGACCCAGCCACATGTTATGCCCTTTCTTTAAAATATCTACTTTCTCCCCATGACCAAACAGAATTTAGCATTATCAAATATCCTCCTACTTATTTTTACCCGAACTTTTTTTTTTTTTTTTTTTTTTTTTTTGGTATTGGGGGTTGAACTCTGGGACACTCAACCACTGAGCCACATCCCCAGTCCTATTTTGTTTTTTATTTAAAGACAGGGTCTCGTTGTGTTGCTAAGTGTTGTGCTGTTGCTGAGGCTGGCTTTGAACTCACATTCCTGTCAAGCCACTGGGATTACAGGCCTTGGACACCATGCCCAGTTTACCTAAACCTTTGACTCCTGCCCCACGCCCAGTGGCCTTGCTTTCCTCCTGGCTCCTAGGCACAACATCTCTGCTTTCTTCAGGGTTGCCAGCACTTCTTATAAGTCCCCAAGCTCTCCCAGTGCAGTGAGTTCATGCGCCTTCTGGCCAAGCCTCAGTTTTGGGGATCTGGGGGAGGCTACCTGGTTTTCCTCCCTCTTTTTGCAGGTCTGCTGGTGTCTCCTCCTCCCCAGGCCTCGCTGCTGTCTTGACCTCTCTCCTGGCTCACACATGAAGATGATCTTGCAAAGTGCTCTGGTGGTCATGGCCCTGATGAACCTAGTCATGGTCAACCTTTCTCTGTCCACTTGCACCACCAAAAGCTTTGGCCACATCAAGAAGATGGAAGCCATTAGGGGACTGATCTTGAGCAAGCTCAGGCACACCAGCCCCACTGAGCCATCATGATGACCCCCATCCTTCACATCCCCTCTCAGGTCCTGGCCCTTTAGAGCAGCACCTAGGAACTTCGAGAGGAGACTCAGGAGGGAGAGGGAGCATGGCAGCAATCAGGAAAATGCCCAACTTGGAATATGATGTTACAGAGACCCATAAATTCCACATGATTCAGGGCCTAGTGGAGCTCAGTAAGTCCAAATGCTCACTGGGTGACTGTTATGGAGGGGATGAATTGGAGAAGCTCCAAAGAGGGACCTGCAGCTGGCCACACTGAACAGTGCCCTGCTGCATTAGCACCGCCCTCAGGAGCTGCAATGTGCAGTGGGGCTGGGTAGGTGAGTAGGGGGGACAGTGTGGGGACTATCAGGACAATGGGGATGTGTCTGGGAGTGTGTCTTCCCCAAAGGGAGACGGAGCTGGGAAGCTTCAGCTGAGATGCCTGTGTTTGCACTGTTGTGGAAGTCAGGTATTTACTTGACTCCACAAGGTGCTCCCGAAACCGGCTGGCCTTTCCTGGGCCTGATGAGGACATTAAAATTTTGCAGGGGAGAGGCTCCGCCCGTGGGTCCCTCCTCCGAGTCCCTGGCCCCAGGCGTTAGGGAGGGAGATGTAAAATATCAACAGAGAGAAATCGAGAAGGCAGTTGGTGTGCACACGTTTTAAAAATCTTTGTCTCAATACAAAACAGAGGAATTTGGCAGATGTTGAGAAACTGACAGCTGAGGAGAGAGGAATGTCTCTTTTGGGCCAAAATCTGGAAGCAGCTGTTTGCTTTTCCTACCAGCAGGTGTCCTTGTCACCCTGGCTACCTGGGCCCAAGTCTACTGGGAAGTAGGCAGTCTCCAGAGTCGGGGTGGAAGGGTGATCTGGAGCCCCCAGGATGAGGGTGGTCATGGGGCAAACAGCAGGGGTGAAAATGAACCCGAATGGAGAGAAAGGACAGGAGTGGATGCCTATGGATGGACCAGCCTTGAACAGAGGTGCAGAGGCTGCATTTGGAGCTGGTCCTCACCAGACCAGTAGCCTGTAGTCACTGATGAGGGGTTCTCACTGCAGTTTCCTGTGGCTTCTGTGCAGGATGTGTGGGGAGGCTGAGACAGACAGAGCTCCCTGCCCAGGATCCCCTGGGTGAGGCTGGCTCTGTGTCAGCCACCGGTCCCCAGTTCCCAGAGGCACCCAGCACTTGGATCACTGAGCCCTTAACTTCCTGGTCACCCAGTAAAGCAGGACATGGTGGCCACAAACATCAGAGGAGGGTGGATGCATGAGGCCAGCAGGAGAATACTGAGGAGAATCGAGGGCAAAGGGGCAGGACTCAGACTTCCATGGGCCAGGCCACAAGGAGGACTTCAAGGGAGGAGGGATTCTGGGTCACTAGGGTCCACCCAGCCTGAATCCTGAGCTGAGAATGAATGGGCCACATGGGTACTAGGCCAGTCAGGTGTATGTGGACATCAGTTTTGTACAGAGATTCAATGATACTGTCATGGCTTGGATATGAGGTGTCTCTCAAAAGCTCCTGTGTTAATACAGGAATGGTCAGAGGTGAAACAATTGGATTCTGAGAACTGTAGACTAATCAGTCCATCCTAGTTTGAATGGACTGGATGGTGGTAACTGTAGGCAGGTGGGGCATGGATGGAGGAGGTGGGTCAATGGTGTTATGCCACGGAAGGGTTCATCTTCCCAGGGGTCACATCCTTCTGTTCTACCTCACCTGAGCCCAGAGCAATGGAGGTAGCTCACTTTGGACTAAACCTCTGAAACTAGGAGCCAAAATACACTTTTCATCCTGTAGACCCCCAGGTCTCCTTACTTTACAGATGAGAAGACAGAGATGTCATCAATTAAGTGATTTGTCCAAAAAGAGCAGGGACTCTAACCTGGACATGATGCTCTTAAGCACCAATGTATATGGAAATCACACATTTTTAAGTCCACCTTTAACCTTCAGGCTCCAATTGAACTTTTCTTTTTAATTTTTTAAAATTGTTAGTTGTAGATGGACACAATACCTTTACTTCGTTTAATACCAGTGCCCCAGCCCTCCAACTGAACTTTGATTTAGGACAGAGGTGAATCCCATGTTGGTCTAAGCAGGAAGAGATGGAAAACATTGCTTCAGTAACCCAGGTGCAGGTTGTATAGGGACAACTGTATTTGTTCTCAGTTCTCACAGGAGAGTCATACTGCCAAGGATGAACTCCCAAATTCAGTAAGGGGTGTTCTTTATCTAATAAGGAGTCTTAAGCAAGATAAGCAACCACAGTCATGTGAAAGCCACTTCTCCGTGATCTCTGAACTACCCTTCACTTGAAAGAATTTTTTAATTACGTCTGGATGCTTTGCCTGAATCTCTGCTGGAGAGTATGGGCAAGACTCTGCAATCCTTTTATAATGCTCCAGGATGTCTAACCAGACAAAACTCCACTAGAGGGTTCTTCCCATGCCATCAGACCTTGGACTGGTGAGCAAGGAAGCTGAGAGTCACCTCAATCAGCCTCAGTCACAGGCCACTCCAGCAGACAGCTTGGTGAGCAACACAAGAGGAGGAAGGGCTTATCAGCACAGCCCAAGAAAGAACCAGGAGGAGGACCATCTGGCACAGGCAGTGAACACTATTTTTGTCCACAGTGTCAACATCCTCAGTGGAGACAATTCTTTTTTCATTAAGAATTTTTGTGTGATTTTATTTGTTGATTGGTTTGGGTACATACACACATGCACATGTATTTTTTATTTTTTGTCACTTTTCCTTATTATCCTTTTGTTGCATTTTTTCATTTTTTTTGAGGGTTAGTGGTTTTGTTTTCTTTTTGAAAAATTTGTTCAAAAAGAGTATTGTGACATATTATACATACATGGACTATAACTTATTCTAATTAGGATCCCATTCTTGTGGTTGTATATGATGTGGAGTTACACGGGTCATGTATTCATAGTGAACATAGGTTAGTTAATGTTTGATTCATTCTACTGTCTTTCCTTCATTCCCATTTGTGTAATACAGTGAACTTCTATTCTCTCCCTGCCTTGATGTGTGTCAGCATCCATATATTAGAACATTTGGCTTTTGGTTTGGGGGGATTGCCTTATTTCACTTAGCACAATAATCTCCAGTTCCATCCATTTACCAGTAAATGCCATAATTTCATTCTTCTTTAAGGCTGAGTAACATTCCATCTGCATATACATACATTTTTTTTATTCATTCATCTGTGAAGGGCACCTAAGTTGGTTCCATATTGTGAATTGAGCTGCTATAAACACTGATGTGGCTGCATCACTGTAGTATGCTGATTTTAAGTCCTTGGATCTAAACTGAGGAGTGGGACAACTGGGTCAAATGGTGGTTCCATTCCAAATCTCCTAACGATCTCCATACCACTTTTCCAGAGTTTTGCACCAATTTGTATTCCTACCAGCAATATATGAGTCAACCTTCTCCCTCCCCCATTCTCCTTGCCCATTTATTTTTGCTTGTATCTTTGATAATGGCCATTCTGACTGGAGTGAGATGGAATCTGTGTCGTTTAAATTTGCATTTCCCTAATTGCTAGTGATATCGAACATTTTTTTTCATATATTTGTTGACAGATCATATTTCTTCTTCTGTGAAGTGTCTTTTAAGTTCCTTTGCCTGTTTATTGACTAGGCTATTTGTTTTGTTGTTGTTTGTTTGTTTGTTTTGGTGTTAAGTTTTTTGAGTTCTTTATGTTTTCCTGGAGATTAATGCTCTGAGGTGCAGGTGGCAAAGATTTTCTCCCATTCTGTAGGCTCCCTCTTCATGTTCTTGATTGTTTCCTTTTCTGTGAAAAGCTTTTTAGTTTGATACCATCCCCTTTATTGATTCTTGATTTTACTTCTTGTGCTTTAGGAGTCTTGTTGAGGAAGTCAGTTCCTAAGCCCACACATTGGAAAGTTGGACCTACATTTCCTTCTCCTCTATTAGGTGTAGGTCCTTGACCTACTTTGAGTTGATTTTTGTGCAGGGTGAGACATAGGGGTTAATGCTATATCTGGATTTCCGGTTTTCTCGGCACCATTTGTTGAAGAGGCCATCTTTTCTCCAACGTTTGTTTTTCTTTCTCATGTTTCTCTCTCCTCCTCTCTCCCTCTAGCAGACACATTCTCTTTTTCACTTTTCCTCCTCCTCCTTTAACAGACTTGACTTGCTATCTCTCTTCTGCTCTCCCTCCTTTTCATACTTTGAATATTCTAAACTTTTTGATTTTACACCCCACTTTCTTTTCTCTTAATGAACTGATTTTTTCCATCTTTAGAACTATTTAGATTTTACGATATCGACCTCCACCCTTCCCTGCGTGTGTGCTCTTCAGTGTTGTGGATGGAATCCTAGGCACCTGGTATTTATTTCAAGGCTGTTATGTTTCTGTGACTCCTTGCCGTGGTTTCTTTCCCAGTTTCCCATGAAGTGCTGGGAATCTGTTGTGACACTTGAGTTCATGGGGCGGCCAGTCTGTTGCTGACCTTCACTCCAACCCAGCTAGGAGACGGCACACCTGGCTTCACACACCCCAACCCTGCTCAAACTTTGGAAATACTTTAGCATAAAGAATAGGTGAGACATCACCTTGATGTTGGGCTTCCAGAAACAAGTTGGTGTGAATATACTATGTATGTATACAATTCTATATATGTAATAAGAATTGTAATGCATTCTGATGTCATATAGAAATTTAAAAATTTTACATTAAAAAAAAAAAGAAAATATACTTCAATTTAGCAAATTTTTGCCAGTAGAATCTGGACACCGGCTTGGTATCCTTCATTTAGCTTAGTGTCATTTAATTCAGTTAATTTCCTGAATTAACATTTATTGTGATATGACATATTAGTTATAGAAAATATGTAATGCTTATTTTACTTAAAATAATGCATATTTAATTTGAATACCTGAGACTAACCCTTGAAGTAGATTTACTTGCAGTAGTTTTATGTAGATTAAACTCAACAAAAGTGTACAAAGGTCAGACACTATTGTTAGTGAAGATTAAGAAAACATTTCTGAGAAAACAACAGAAATACAGAGAAAGAAAAGCAAATTTTACACATTTAAAATAAAATTACTAGTTGTTTATTAAAATGCTTATGACAACACTCCAGAGTCAGAAGTGCTTCGAGTGTGACTAAAAGAATGTTTGGTAATAGTCCAAAATTTTTTAAAAGTGCACAATAATTACTTTCTATGTATATTTCATCAAATTCACTGTTCTTTAGTTCTAATTAACTTTGCAATGAGTACATGCTATTAGAGTTTCAGTAAGAAAACTCGTGCTTTTTTCTATTATATACGATTTTTTTTAATTGCTGAATGTATTTTTAAATGACTGTGAAATAAAAGCTGTAAAGACATCTTGGAATGAGCTGTTTCAACTTCATTTCTTTTTCCTCAGATAATTCTTAGAAAATGACATCTGTATTTATTGCAAAATTTTATATTTCCCATTACTTTTTTACCTACAGAAAAAAATTCATTATAACTTATGGCATTTTGAAGATGCAGATTGAGGCCAACCTGTCATTTACTAAGCTTGACATCACCATAAGAAAACGTTTTCTCTGTCTCTCCCTTTCTCTCTGTCAACTACTTCAATTATTATGAAATTCTTTTTTTTAATATTTATTTTTTAGTTTTCGGTGGACACAACATCTTCATTTTTTTTATTTTTATGTGGTGCATGCTACTGCTTGAGCCACATCCCCAGCCCCTCATTATGAAATTCTTATCAGTCATTTAAATAAATTTTCTGACTAGCCAGAGTTTTATGAGGAATTTTTTTAAAAAATAAAAAAAAAAAAGAACAGGTGAGAGAATATGGAAAGCAGTAGGGAGATTTCTTGG